TTTCTTGTATTGTACTGCATTAAGTAGGAAGTAGTTAGAAGAGTGGTTCGTATTGCCATGGGGAGTACGTGTTCCATATCTACGTAAACATGAAGAATACGAAGAAGAAAGAAGATCTATGTCCTCCCTAGTTATTTTCGTAGCCTGGCAGGTGATTGTGTATAATCGTGTAGCGGGGCGTGTAATTCTTTCTTGTCTACTAGAATGTCTGGCTAGCACGAACAATCGATATATCCACATTATTTCTATGAAAGATGCAATAGTTTGAAGTCTGGAAATTCTAATTCACAACCTGTTACCATGATAGGAGAACCCGGATCACTCATCCGGACACTTCGGGATGGAAAGACAAACTCAGTTTGCAGGGACTTCATTATCTCTGTGTCTTCATACACACTTCCCACATCGTGCTCATTCCCTTCTCCATTTCCTCTCCATTTCCCTTGGTAATTAATCTATGTGTAATTACAGAGATTATAGGAAGACATGTAAACAGTAGAGTGGGATCGTGTAGCAGTGATGTCGGTAATCTCACCTGTATGTACAGTTGAAGTTGGAAGTTTACATACACCTTAGCCAAATACATTTAAACTCAGTTTTTCACAATTCCTGACATTTAATCCTAGTAAAAATTCCCTGTTTTAGGTCAGTTGGATCACCACTTTATTTTAAGAATGTGAAATGTCAGAATAATAGTAGAGAGAATTATTTATTTCAGCTTTTATTTATTTCATCACATTCTCAGTGGGTCAGAAGTTTACATACACTCAATTAGTATTAGGTCATTATGGCCAAACAGTTCTATTTTTGTTTCCTCAGACCAGAGGACATTTCTCCAAAAAGTACGATCTTTGTCCCCATGTGCAGTTGCAAACCATAGTCTGGCTTTTTTATGGCAGTTTTGGAGCAGTGGCTTCTTCCTTGCTGAGCGGCCTTTCGGGTTATGTCGATATAGGACTCGTTTTACTGTGGATATAGATACTTTTGTACCTGTTTCCTCCAGCATCTTCACAAGGTCCTTTGCTGTTGTTCTGGGATTGATTTGCACTTTTCGCACCAAAGTACGTTCATCTCTTGGAGACAGAACGCGTCTCCTTCCTGAGCAGTATGACGGCTGCGTGGTCCCATGGTGTTTATACTTGCATACTATTTTTTGTACAGATGAACGTGGTACCTTCAGGCGTTTGGAAATTGCTTCCAAGGATGAACCAGACTTGTGGAGGTCTACAATTTTTTTTCTGAGGTCTTGGCTGATTTCTTTTGATTTTCTCATGATGTCAAGTGAAAAGGCACTGAGTTTGAAGGTAGGCCATGAAATACATCCAAAGGTACACCTCCAATTGACTCAAATGATGTCAATTAGCCTATCAGAAGCTTCTAAAGCCATGACATCACTTTCTGGAATTTTCCAAGCTGTTTAAAGGCACAGTCAACTTAGTGTATGTAAACTTCTGACCCACTGGAATTGTGATACAGTGAATTATAAGTGAAATAATCTGTCTGTAAACAATTGTTGGAAAAATTACTTGTGTCATGCACAAAGTAGATGTCCTAACCGACTTGCCAAAACTATAGTTTGTTAACAAGAAATTTGTGGAGTGGTTGAAAAACGAGTTTTAATGACTCCAACCTAAGTGTATGTAAACCTCCGACTTCAACTGTATGTGTGCACAGGCCACACGGGCCACAGTCAAGCATGAAGCTAATAGTACAGTTCTGAATGCCAAGGGGCCTCTGCATTAAGCCTTAGAATAATTAATGAGTGGGCCTCAGGATTTGTATTATTAGATATAGATGCCCTTTTGCCTGGCCTTCTACTCTGTGCTGTAGCGGGTATTGATTGTGCTGTTGAATTTTGGGGAGTACAGTTTTCCTCTTGGCAGGGAGATCTGAATCTGGTGCCATGGATCTCACCCCTCCATGTGCCCATTGACATCGATGAGAGAGAGGGAGGATTACATTATTTTTGAACACTTTTACTTATTTTGTTAACCTTTTACTGCAGGGTCACACATTCTTGGTAGTCTTAAACAAATCTACTTTGAAACAAGAGTATGCACCTGACACACATGGTTATGGCTTAAACAAAATAAGACACCTTTACCATGTCAGATATAGAGTTCAAATGTATTCCATTTTGAGTTTGCATCCCAATATTACACTTTATATACATCACAGAAGACTGAAATATAACAAAACCGTTTGACATAGAAACCGGATTTTCAGCGGGTTTTTGAAGTAATGTTTATTCATTATTCATTATGAAAAATATTAATAATATTCCACCCATAGGGCCACTAGGTTATTTGACTGCAGGAAAGGGCTACAGGCATCGTTACATACTCCAAAATCCTCTTGGTGAATATGTCTCATATTTTATTGAATGATAATGGGTTGTGTGATTCCTGTAGAAGACCTTTTGGGCTTCCGTCGGCCCGAGAGAGTTCAGATACTGTTTGAAAACTTCAAACATGCATCCTTCTTTCTCTTCTGACTTCCGAAAGGCTTGAGCAATGTGGTGGGTACCGTGCTTTCACTTGTCCAATGCTGTTAGCTACAGGTAACTGCCAAAATAAAGGAATAACCATCATAAAGTTTCATAGCCCTTTCCTGCAGTCAATGACCAAAAGCGCCCTCTTTGGCTTCATGGGTGCAACGTTATTAATATTAAAGATTTTTTTTTTGTACAGACGAAAATCACTCTGTGTGATCCTGATTTAGCCCAGCGCAGTAAAAGGTTAATAGGGCGTTGGGCCACCACAAGATGCCAGAACAGCATTCAGCATTCTACAAGTGTCTGAAACTCTATTGTAGGGATGCAACATCATTCTTACACAGAAAATACCATAATTTGGTGTTTTGTTGATGGTGGTAGAAAACGCTGTCTCAGGCTCCGCTCTACTGTGGGGGAAGAAAGTATTTAGTCAGCCACCAATTGTGCAAGTTCTCCCACTTAAAAAGATGAGAGTGGCCTGTAATTTTCATCATAGGTACACGTCAACTATGACAGACAAAATTAGGAATAAAAATCCAGATTATGCAAATTATGGTGGAAAATAAGTATTTGGTCAATAACAAAAGTTTCTCAATACTTTGTTATATACCCTTTGTTGGCAACGACACAGGTCAAACGTTTTCTGTAAGTCTTCACAAGGTTTTCACACACTGTTGCTGGTATTTTGGCCCATTCCTTTATGCAGATCTCCTCTAGAGCAGTGATGTTTTGGGGCTGTCGCTGGGCAACACGGACTTTCAACTCCCTCCAAAGATTTTCTATGGGGTTGAGATCTGGAGACTGGCTAGGCCACTCCAGGACCTTGAAATGCTTCTTACGAAGCCACTCCTTCGTTGCCCGGGCGGTGTGTTTGGGATCATTGTCATGCTGAAAGACCCAGCCACGTTTAATCTTCAATGCCCTTGCTGATGGAAGGAGGTTTTCACTCAAAATCTCACGATACATGGCCCCATTCATTCTTTCCTTTACACGGATCAGTCGTCCTGGTCCCTTTGCAGAAAAACAGCCCCAAAGCATGATGTTTCCACCCCCATGCTTCACAGTAGGTATGGTGTTCTTTGGATGCAACTCAGCATTCTTTGTCCTCCAAACACGACAAGTTGAGTTTTTACCAATAAGTTCTATTTTGGTTTCATCTGACCATATGACATTCTCCCAATCCTCTTCTGGATCATCCAAATGCACTCTAGCAAACTTCAGACGGGCCTGGACATGTACTGGCTTAAGCAGGGGGACACGTCTGGCACTGCAGGATTTGAGTCCCTGGCGGCGTAGTGTGTTACTGATGGTAGGCTTTGTTACTTTGGTCCCAGCTCTCTGCAGGTCATTCACTAGGTCCCCCCGTGTGGTTCTGGGATTTTTGCTCACCGTTCTTGTGATCATTTTGACCCCACGGTGTGAGATCTTGCCTGGAGCCCCAGATCGAGGGAGATTATCAGTGGTCTTGTATGTCTTCCATTTCCTAATAATTGCTCCCACAGTTGATTTCTTCAAACCAAGCTGATTACCTATTGCAGATTCAGTCTTCCCAGCCTGGTGCAGGTCTACAATTTTGTTTCTGGTGTCCTTTGACAGCTCTTTGGTCTTGGCCATAGTGTTTGGAGTGTGACTGTTTGAGGTTGTGGACAGGTGTCTTTTATACTGATAACAAGTTCAAACAGGTGCCATTAATACAGGTAACGAGTGGAGGACAGAGGAGCCTCTTAAAGAAGAAGTTACAGGTCTGTGAGAGCCAGAAATCTTGCTTGTTTGTAGGTGACCAAATACTTATTTTCCACCATCATTTGCAAATAAATTCATTAAAAATCCTATAATGTGATTTTCTGGATTTTTTTCCCTCAATTTGTCTGTCATAGTTGACGTGTACCTATGATGAAAATTACAGGCCTCTCTCATCTTTTTAAGTGGGAGAACTTGCACAATTGGTGGCTGACTAAATACTTTTTTTCTCCACTGTATAAGTGTTCCATTGGGTTGAGATCTGGTGACTGAGATGGCCATAGCATGTTTACATCGTTTTCATGCTCATTTAAACCATTCAGTGACCATTCGTGCCCTGTGGATGGGGGCATTGCCATCCTGGAAGACACCACAGACTAGAGACCTTTACGGGTCCAAAATGTTGGACCCGTTCCGTAATGGACAGACCATTCCTTTCAGGATAGAAATGATTCACCACAGGTTGAAGGTGATCACTCAGAATGGCTGTGTATTTATTGGTGTTTACCTTGCCATCGAAGGGGTTGAGTGGACCTAAACCATGCCAGGAAAATGCACCCCACACCATAACAAAGCCGCCAGAACTCTCATTTACTCAAGTGTTTCCTTTATTTTGGCAGTTACCTGTACATAATTTCAGGGTAAGGGAAGAAGGAAGGATGCATTTTTTATGTTGTTTAATGGCCACAGTTGAACTCCTGTAACCTCTGACCTCACTCTACTATACCGTCTTTGACCTCTTGACTTTCCCCCCGAGCCTCTGAGGATGCACTGTAACTGCTGTGCCTTGGTGACCAGCTCGGGCCACCTTACCGGCAGCAACCGTGGGGATGAAATCGACCGCACCGAGTGCGTCATCCGCATGAATGACGCCCCGACTGGGGGTAGTTTCCAGCGGGATGTGGGCCAGCGTACCAGCCTGCGCGTCATCGCCCACTCCAGCCTGCAGAAGGTACTGCGGAGCCGGCAGGAGCTGCTCAACGCCAGCCAGGACTCAGTCTTCCTCTTCTGGGGACCCAGCAGCTGCATGCGACGCGACGGCAAAGGCCTGGTCTTCAACAACCTGCGTCTGGTCAACCAGCTGCTGCCCAAGCTCAAGGTCTACGTCATCTCTCAGCTCAAGATGCCGCAGTTCGACAAGCTCTTCAAGAAGGAGACAGGGAAAGACAGGTAGGGTTTTGACCTTTTGACCCTTGGGTCAATGATGCCATTGGGTTTTGGCTTTGTGAGTCTGTCTGTCTGTCCAATTCTGGTCAAGAATGACTTCTGAAAAATACAGTCAGTGTGTTTGAGGACTTGAGCCACTTGAAGCAGGATTTGCTAGGGAAGCCGAATGCATTGTAGTCAGTGCTCTTGGGCATACACATTCTAATTCAAAAGCTGCTTTTGAGCATTTTTGACGACGCTCTTAACAAAAGAATAAGAAAGAAATCCCAACAACCACCCAACCACTCACAGTATCATTAATGGGATTTAGTTCAAAGCACTCTGAATATATGTTAGGAACTAAGAGGATTAGCTGTAGACCATGGGGATATGAGAGTCCCATTGAATGGGACAATGCAGCTAGAGAGGGATTTGAACACTCTGTAAATACAGAAACTCTGTTCCAAATAGAATGCTGGATCATGTTCTGAATGGAAGTGGTAGAAGAAGAAGGAACACAAAGTTGTGTAATAACGTTGAGACAACCTAATGCCAACTACCAATTTTACATTACCATGGCATTGCAGACAATGTTGCGACAAGCTAACACATTGACGCAATGTTTCTGTGTTTCTGCGCAAGACAATCTATGTGACAACAGAGTGATCAAATTAAGATAGTACAACTGCACATGACAGTTACATGATGACAGGAAGTGACAAAAGCGCTACACAGCCTCACAAGATGATGTCACTGAGCCAGAGCTAGGAGCAGAAACCAATTACAGGTCCTACCAGACTCTCACTGGCTGGCACTCTCCCTGGCACTCCTTCTGTGCCCCCCTGGCAGAGGCTGCCAACAGTAAACAGAATGAGCCCAGACAGGAGTGGCTCTGCTGCCAGCTGGGATATCCCCCAGTGAGGGGCTGGTATGCTTTGATGGCGGTTTAACAGCATTGAAATTGCCATTTCATGGTATTAAAAATGAAGCAATAAATTGAGGGCCTTGACCAGAATGGATATCGCTGCAAGTTCCACATAGGGCCATGCAGTTTTTTCCCCCCACAATTCTCATTTAATTCTATTGAGTCATGCAATACATTTAGTTTAACATACAGTCTATATTGTGTCTTGTTTCTGCTCACCTTGTCATCCAGGAAGACCTCTAACTCATGGCTGAGCACTGGTTGGTTCACCATGGCCATTGCCCTGGAGCTCTGTGACAGGATCAATGTCTATGGCATGGTGGCTCCTGACTTCTGCAGGTGGGTTGGGTTCTGCACAGGGCACAGTGCTGTCGGACTCAAGAGTTTCAATGACATGTATGACATAGGGAATATTACCCCAATGATTACTAATAGGCAACTATCACTGTTATTATTATTATTTCTGTTCTGGCAAATAAAATGTACCTGCTTGTGTTCTGAATATCCTGACTATGCATCTTAATACATGAGAGGTGATAAAAGTTAGATAGATTAGATAGATAGATAACAGTAGCTCCAGATATTGAGCTGATATCCATAGGCAGGTCCATGGGACCAGATCAAATGTCTGTGCTCTGTGAATTATTCATGCTGGCTCAAATTCTACTGAGTCTAGGACTGAAGAAGCATCACAGGGATAGGAGTAGCTTTGATAAGCACATCTCAGGGCTAATAAATATTTTTATGATATACTTCATCTCTCTCTATTTTCTATTCCTCGTTCTCTCTCTCCCCCCTCTCTCTATCACTCCCCTCCCCATTCTCTCTCTCTCTCTCTCCCCCCTCTCTCTATCACTCCCCTCCCCATTCTCTCTCTCTCTCTCTCCCTCTCTCTCTCTATCACTCCCCTCCCGATTCGCTCTCTGTCTCTCACACGCACACACACCACACACACCACACACACTCTTTCTCTTTTTCTGTTGATCTCTCTCCTGTCCATTCTCACTCTCTGTCTCCCCCATCTTCCATTTCCCCCCTCCAACTTCTCTCCCCTTCATATCCCCCTTTCTCCCTCTCTCTTCTCATCCTCTTTTCACAGGGCTCCTTCCCATCTCTCGGTGCCGTATCATTACTACGAGCCTTCGGGGCCTGACGAGTGCTCCATGTATTTCTCCCACGAGCGCAACCTGCGCGGCAGCCACCACCGCTTCATCACGGAGAAGACAGTGTTCGGCAACTGGGCCCGGACGTTCGACATCCACTTCTACCAGCCAGACTGGAGCCCGTCCTCTACTCTCAATGGAAACATCTCACTCACACCTGCTTCAGCTGGCTCCTGATCCCAGACAGATAGACAGAAAGGTCCCCAGGACCTGGGGAAGAAGTGACTGTGTGTTTGGACTCCAACATGCTGATTTTCCTTATCCTCTCCATGGTTCCCTTATGGGAGGAGTGGAACAGTACAAGGGTCGTTCCACTAATTCGGTGCCTTTTGAGAAGTGTAACTTGGTTAAAAACAAAACAATGTTTGATTTAACCTAATTTTAACATTCTGACATAAATAGTACGTCCAACTTCATAAAAAACACGTTTTCCCATATCAAGGGGTTAGATAAAAAAATACTATAGTAAGTGCCTATTAAGTGCCAAATAAAGTAACAGGGTTGACCGTAACAGGGTTGACTGTAACAGGGTTGACCATAACAGGGGTGACGATTTCAGTTCACGTAACCTGTTGACCTTAAAATGAAGGACAGACGTAATTAAATAAATAATAATCTTCAGAAATGACTTTGTCAAAGGAACAAAATAACTAAGGCTTTACAATGATGGTGAAACTTTGAGAAATGTTGGAATTAAGTGGGTTAACATCTTCCTGACACAGGGTTGACGGGGGAAATGTCAAAATACAGAATCTTGGCACTTTAGCAAGCCTCATACTTGATCACCTAGCTACGTTGTTTGCTTTATTGCCAAATAAGTAACTAAGTAACAGATTACTTAAATTGAAAACGAATGCGTTAGGTTACTTGTTACCTCAAAAAGTAATCTGAGTACTTTAATGCGTTTCTTTGGAATCCTAATGCCGGTAGCTACACTCCCAAACAGGGACGACCCTTCGGAATGGTGGGATGTCATGCTATCTGGTGGACCTGGTTGGATTTAAGGGCTTCAAGGGACAAGCTGGGTTTAAACAAGCTTATTTTTTAATTAGTCCAGTCCCTATAAACAACACTCTCAGGTCGACATGATAACTATGTTTGACCTTGTCTGGTAAAATAAAGATGAAAACAAAGGTTTGGAAATGCAGTGTAAATTCGTAAGTAGGTTTCGGTGCTTACAAACTGTATTCACCTACAAGCCTCTTTATTCTTATTGTTGGAAAAGGTTAGTCTGAGTTTTATAGGACCAAAAGTGCCAAGGTGGTGTACTTGTTTTACAAATAATAAGCAGTCTTGTCCTGACTTGACTTGGGTGAGGAATCCTGTTTCCAAACCAACCTAATAAAACAGGCGTTAACAAAGGTTAAAAACAAATCATGAGCTATCCCCCTTCCTCTTTCAACAGTGTTCAACTTTATCACCATTGAAATCATACCGTTTGTAGATGCAGGGTGTAGAGTACATTACAGTATGTGTCAGTATTTGACACCTCATTGAGCCGGAGGATGAACAGCCAATGTTCCATGTCATAGTCTGATGCTTTCATCTCCTGAGCAGCAATTTCCAGCATGACACATATCCCCATTCCTGACATAGATAAGCACTGGCGCTAAATTGCTAAAATTACAAATGTTGATAGCCCCTGGTAGTGGGGGAGATGGTTTTGGGATGTTTTGGTGGTGATTCTTGAATGGTTTATCAGTAAAAAGTGACATAATTATGCAGTGGGACCAAAATGTTTTCTGCACATAGTTGAGATAAAGTATAAGATAAATATAGGAAAAGATTGCATAGCCTACGCACATCCAATACTGAGCAGGTGCTGGAAATCAAATAATATGATCAGCTAAAGGTAAAAACAGAAGGCAGTGTACAGAGTGATGATTTATAAGGTATTATAACTTCTCTTTTCATAGGCAGTTAATAACTTGGCCTCAGTCCACTTTTAGATGACCAGAAGGTAGGATTAAGACAGACTGTCATTTCTCTAAATGTCAAAAGCTAGTGGAATTTCTTGGCAAATTTTAAATGTGAAGGTTAAGAGGAGTTTTAAGAGATATTACTCTTGGTTTGCCCTGACACCTAGTGGCTATTTGTGTTCTCCATCTGTATGGACTGGTCTGTAGGTTCGGGAGAATGAATGTCCTGTCATCTATGACTGTTTTAACTTTGCTTGTGGGCATAGCGGGGCACTTTGCAGTGTGTGGGTGGTCTATATGGACAACAATTGTTCCAAAATTGCAATTGCCACCTGTTTCCCGCCTTTATGTGTTTTTCACCAGTAGAATATAGGCCCACCCTTTGTCTTTAGTCGATAGTTCATAGTTGACAAAATATTCTAAATATGGGCCTTACAGTCTGTGAGGAACCTTTATTATTGATCATTCTGCGAGGCCCCTATTTACACTAACAAGCCTGAAAGGAACCTTTACCATTATAAACCAGCCTGTAAGGCCCCTATTTGCTCTGATCAGCCTCCGAGGAGCCTTTATTATAGACCATTAGACCAGCCTGTTAGGCCCATATTTACGCTGACCAGCCTGAGAGGAAACTTTATTATAGATTAGCCTGTAAGGCCCCTATTCACTTGGATCAGCCTCCAAGGAGCCTGTATTGTGTTAGTTGTATTAATAGATACAGTGAGGGAAAAAAGTATTTGATCCCCTGCTGATTTTGTACATTTGCCCACTGACAAATAAATTATCAGTCTATAATTTTAATGGTAGGTTTATTTGAACAGTGAGAGACAGAATAAAAACAAAAAAATGTTGTTATAAATTGATTTACATTTTAATGAAGGACATAAGTATTTGACCCCCTCTCAATCAGAAAGGTTTCTGGCTCCCAGGTGTATTTTATACAGGTAACGAGCTGAGATTAGGAGCACACTCTTAAAGGGAGTGCTCCTAATCTCATCTTGTTACCTGTATAAAAGACACCTGTCCACAGAAGTAATCAATCAATCAGATTCCAAACTCTCCACCAAGACCAATGAGCTCTCCAAGGATGTCAGGGACAAGATTGTAGACCTACACAAGGCTGGAATGGGCTACAAGACCATCGCCAAGCAGCTTGGTGAGAAGGTGACAACAGTTGGTGCGATAATTCGCAAATGGAAGAAACACAAAAGAACTGTCAATCTCCCTCGGCCTGGGGCTCCATGCAAGATCTCACCTTGTGGAGTTGCAATGATCATGAGAACGGCGAGGAATCAGCCCAGAACTACACGGGAGGATTTTGTCAATGATCTCAAGGCAGCTGGGACCATAGTCACCAAGAAAACAATTGGTAACACACTACACCGTGAAGGACTGAAATCCTGCAGTGCCCGCAATGTCCCCCTGCTCAAGAAAGCACATATACATGCCCGTCTGAAGTTTGCCAATGAACATCTGAATGATTCAGAGGAGAACTGGGTGAAAGTGTCGTGGTCAGATGAGACCAAAATGGAGCTCTTTGGCATCAACTCAACTCTCCGTGTTTGGAGGAGGAGGAATGCTGCCTATGACCCCAAGAACACCATCCCCACCGTCAAACATGGAGGTGGAAACATGCTTTGGGGGTGTTTTTCTGCTAAGGAGACAGGACAACTTCACCGCATCAAAGGGACGATGGACAGGGCCATGTACCGTCAAATCTTGGGTGAGAACCTCCTTCCCTCAGCCAGGGCATTGAAAATGGGTCATGGATGGGTATTCCAGCATGACAATGACCCAAAACACACGGCCAAGGCAACAAAGGAGTGGCTCAAGAAGAAGCACATTAAGGTCCTGGAGTGGCCTAGCCAGTCTCCAGACCTTAATCCCATAGAAAATCTGTGGAGGGAGCTGAAGGTTCGAGTTGCCAAACGTCAGCCTCGAAACCTTAATGACTTGGAGAAGATCTGCAAAGAGGAGTGGAACAAAATCCCTCCTGAGATGTGTGCAAACCTGGTGGCCAACTATAAGAAACGTCTGACCTCTGTGATTGCCAACAAGGGTTTGTCATGTTTTGCAGAGGGGTCAAATAATAATTTCCCTCATTAAAATGCAAATCAATTCATAACATTTTTTACATGCGTTTTTCTGGATGTTATTCTGTCTCTCACTGTTCAAATAAACCTACCATTAAAATTATAGACTGATCATGTCTTTGTCAGTGGGCAAACGTACAAAATCAGCAGGGGATCAAATACTTTTTTTTCCCTCACTGTAGCTCTATTTAACCAGCCAGCTAAGATACAGCTTGCTATATTAGCTCATTGCTCCAGAGAAAATAGCTAGCTAAGCAGTTAGTAACATTAGTAGCTGTAATTGCTGCATTATGTTGTCAGCCAAGATGAAAGCTCCTTTAAAAAGATAACTAACCAGCTAAACAGCTTAGATTATCTATATGTCAGCCTGTATAATGTCTAAATAGTATTTCTATTTCAGTGTTTTATATGTTAGCCAGTATAATTTCAAAATAGTCTAGCCATTTCAGTGTTTTTGGAACAGCTAGCTAGATTAAAGATTTTAAAATGGTTATTCTTGCTCTCCCCATTTGCAATTTGAATTTGATTGTCTAATGGGAAAGAATTGGCGGAGTTGCTTGAACATCAGCCTGTGAGGCAGCAGTGCTGCTAAACATCAGCATGGAAGGCACAAGTCACTTGTGCTAGTAGTAGATTGTATTGGTTTTTCACAGTTATAGACTGAATTGTATATGCCATGCTAAAATATGCTATTCCTGACATTGACCTGTGATGTTGTGTTCATCAACAAAATATATATTTTCACCCTGTCTTTGTAATTCAGCTACTGAGTGATGTGTATCTGTTTAGAAATAGCATCATATGGAACTGAATAAAATGTAAATGAATACATTTTTCTCATGTGGGACAATGTCTTTACTATTACATTTTAGACGTTTTTTGATGTGTGGCCAAACAACTGGAGCGGAGATTGATAAGAGTCTTTGGAAATAACAGTGGTTGAGATGTGCTTTTAAACCAGCAGATGGAGATATAGTCCCAACCTTGGGAAAACTTCCATCCAAATACATTTTGAAATGCTGGAAGCCCAACCCTTGAATTTACATACCAACCTGTTTTTCCTCCCTTTTTAGTGTGTAATTATTGGGTTTAACCACATCGGAAGGAATCTTTGGAGAGGAAAATAAATCCTTTGGCTTACCACACCAGGATCAAGCTACAGAAC